AAGGGGCTTCCCTTTGTGGGGAGTGAAATTCTCAATCCGTTCGGACTGTGTCTTCTTTGGCATTTTGCAATTCGTGTTTTCACTTTGCATCTTTGAGGGCACAAACTCTGTTTTTCTTTCCCCTTCATTTGCTGCTACCTCTGTCCCGGCGAAGGCGTGTGCGTCTGATGGCATGGATAAAAACGCTTCTTCAAAGAGGGGCATGTTGGTGATATTTGGACACGAAGCATGCAGCATCAACATGCTGGCCTTTTGCAAGGTCCAGATTAATCCGGTGGCAGCATTTGGTCTGAAAAGGGGGCTGCTGGGCAGAGAGGATGGCTGCCCTCAGAAACCCCCTTTGCAGCACAGTGGCCACTTTGCTTTTGCAGACCGGAGAAACCTGGATCTGAACAGAGTTGGAAATGGAGGGGAAAGTGGTGGCTGGTCCCGAACCCATGTTGTTTCTCCTTGGTCTCAGCCAGCTAAGGATCAGGATGAGCTTAGCAAACCCCAAATTGTTTGGGAAGCGTGAAGCTCACGGGAGCTGTCCCTTGGCCCAATTTCAGGGCCAGGTGTGCTGGCCAGGAGACCCCTGTGCTCAGACCAAGGAGGGAGCATTGGGGCCCGACAGGCGTCTCCGTCACAAGTGTTGTTTCTGCTCGGGTGCAAATGCCTGGGAGGACGACAGGGTCCAAGTTGGCACCAGCCCCACCGCCATTGTTGTGATGGCCCTCTTTGCTCCAGGGCCATCAAGCTGCACAGATTTTCCCGCGTGAGTCCGGTCCTTGGCGACACCAAGGGATTAAGCTAAGCGCTCACAGGATGGGAAAGGATCCCTCCCTACTTTCCCTTCCAGGGGCCATGGCACTTGCTTAGTCTGTTGACTGCAGAGCTTCTAGCTAATGCCATTCCTTGGATGTCTCCAAGTGGGGAGATGGGAGTAAGGATTGTTTTCTCTGCACAAAAACCCAGTCCTGGAATGATGGGCGGACAAGAGGGGAGGCATTCTGGTCTGGAAGCAGGAACCGGGGACCCTGGCCTCCATTTTGGGCTAGTTGGCCTTCCTGGCTTTGGGGGCTCTCTTGGACCCCAAGGTTTTTGGGAAGCTGTTTTCTAGCCTGTTGCAGGGATGGAGAAGGAGAGAGGTGTGGAACTGGAGTCGTTCATTTTCTGTAACTGTTTACTTGGGGGGGGGCAAATGTGGGAAGGGAGGGAGCACTGCTTGACTCAAACCACCCACCCACCCACCAAGATCCCCCTCCCGGATGGGCCTTCTGGGGGTCTTCCTCTGCATCCCATTGATGCTCTTTGCATGGAAGGAAGGGAGGAAGGAGATGCCCTTTTTCTTGGTCAAGGGGATCCCTGGCCCCGGTGGACCCCCAGACTCTGCCCAGGATCAAAGCAAACTGACAATGGGGAGTAA